ATACTATTTTATATTTTTGTTTAAGATTTTAGAAAATAAAAGATTACTATTATATAATCATTTACATTTATTTTCTATTTAGAATTACCAAAAATTAGATTACTATCACATAATTATTTTAAAACTATTAAATATTTTATTTAATACTGTTTAACAATTCGTATCACTACTATTTTTACAGTTAGGAGTTTTAATTAAATAATTTAACAATCAGACATAAGCAAAATGCTACATAAAGGTAACAAATGACATCGACATTAACTTAACTACAACAACATAAGTAATTTTAAATTAAAAAAAAATAACAACATAACTATTTTTATAGCATCTACAAAACAAACACACAAAAGCATGATAGGCACATTAACTTGCATACAATATCAAAACATCTATACTACATACAAACACTTAAGTATGACTATGGCAATAACTAACGACAGCATGACAAATATAACTACAATAAAAATCATCACTAGTTTAAGCATAAAAGAACATAAAAAATATTTCAAATAATTATTCTACAAATATTATTTGTTTAGGATTTGAAAAATGGGAAGACTACTATTAGACACTCTTTTATTATTTTCTTATGTTCAAGATTTTAGAAAAGGATAATTAGTATCAAATATTTTTTTTTTCAATTACCATTTCTTCATTGTTTTAGAAAAGAAAAAAGAGTATCAAATAAATTATTTTGCAAACATTTTTTGTTTAAATTTTGTAAAAGAAAATGGTTTAGAAGAATTGCTATTAATTACTTTTTCAAATTACCTTTATTTGTAAAATCACTTTTATCATCTTAGTATATATATTTTGTTAATCATGATTTATTTTAACATACATGAAAAATTTAAAAGCAAAATTACAGTCAAATAATATTTTACAATAATATTTTCTTTAGGATTTTATAAAAGTCAATTGGTAATGAATAATATACTTTACGAAAATTAATTTTTTGTTAAGGATTTGCAGAAAAAGGAAAACTACAATTAAACACCCTTTATTTTATTTTTTTTACTTTTACATAATATTTAAAATTAATATTGTTAATTTTTTTTTTTAAATTGTTTTGCTTAGGATTCGTGAAAATTAAAATTATGATTAAATACTTTTAACTTCTTTTTTATACTTTAAAAGAAAATTAAAATTAATATATTCAAGTTTTGTTTTAAAAATAATTATCAGCTTAAGAAGTAAAGAGCATAAATATATTGGAAAAAAAATATTCTACAAATTTTTTTTTGTTTGGGATTTAAAAAAAAACTACTATCAAAATCTCTTTATAATTTTCTTATGCTCAAAACTTTTAAAAAGGACAATTCCTATAAAATATTTGTTTTCATTATCTTAGTATCAACTAAACTATTTGTAAAAATCGTTTTTATTATCTTAGTATATAAATTTTGTTAATCATGATTTATATTAATATATATACAAATTTTAAAAGGAAAGTTACTATCAAATAATATATTTTTTTAAAGATTTTAGAAAAGAAAAATTGGTAATAAATAAATTATTTTACAAATATTTTTTCTTAGGATTTGTAGAAAGGAAATCTATAATTAAACACCTTTATTTTAAAAATAAAATTTAAACAACATTTAAAATTATTATTTTTGAAATTCGTTTTTTATTATCTTAAATATTCTTTTTAGGATTTGTATAAAGAAAAACTACAATTCAAAACTTATAAGTTATTTTTTTACTTTAATTATTTTTAAAAAGTTAATATCTTAACAATTCATTTATTATCTTAAGATATATATTAAAAATCATCATCACTTTAAGAAGAAAAGAACATAAAACTAATTGAAATAATTATTCTACAAATACTTTTTGTTTATGATTTTTAAAAAAACTATTAAGGATTCTTTAATAATTCTCTTATATCCAAGATTTTAGAAACGGACAATTATTATAAAATAGGGTTTTTCAAATACCTTTTATTCGGAATTTTGAAACAGGAAAATTAGAATAAAATAAATTATTCTTGAAAATCTTTATTTGTTTGAAATTTTTTAAAAGAAAATGGTTTAGAAATTGCTATTAAATTTTTTAAATATTATCTATAAAATAATTTTCATTTTCTTTGTATATATATGTTGTTAATATGATATATTTTTACATATATAAAATTCTAAAAGGAAAATTACTATCAAATAATATATTTTTAGGATTTTAGAAAAGGAAAATTGATAGTAATTTATTTTACAAATAGTTTTTTTGTTTTGGATTTGTAAAAAAGGAAAACTACAATTAAATACTCTTTATTTGTTTTTACTTTTAAACAATATATTTAAAATTTTTTATTTTCAAAATTAGTTTTTTATTTTATTTTAAATCTTTCTGTTTAGGATTTGTAAAAAGAAAAACTATAATTAAAACCTTTTAGCTTTTTTTTTTTAAAAAAAATAAACAATTTTTAAATTATTATCTTCGAAATTCCTTTTTATTATCTGAGTATATATATGTTTAATCATGATAATTTTAATACATTCCATAATATCAAATGAAAGATTACTATCAAATATTGTATTTTTTTAATATCCTTTATTTAGGATTTTAAAAATGGAAAATTACTATTGCATAATATTAATCATGAGAATTCTAATTGTTTTTAATCATGAGAATTCTAATTATTTTTTTAACAAAATTCGTTTTGTTATTATCTATAATGTATATATTAATTATGAAATAGCTTAATACATGTCACAATCATAAATATATAGTTGCCATATGTCACAGTCTTGTTAATTAATAACTTTGAAAAACCAAGATTTATATAATAAGATATATACTCCTAATATGATTGATTAATAAATAATTAATTCAGCCTCTATTGTTTTATGGTATAAGAGCTTACATTAACCCTAAACTTAGCCGCCATCCCTTTCTTTTGAAATATTTTCTTCTTCTCGTTGGCCATCATGCCTCAGACCGATGACTCTCAAGCTTTTAAAAACGAGACCATCACGGTCTCAACAAAAAAAACCCTACTCAATGTCAATATGACAGATGTGACAAAGCTCACCTCAACCAGTTTCCTCATGTGGAGCCTTCAAGTACACGTTTTGCTTGATGGTTACGATCTAGCCGGGCACATCGATGGATCAATTGTAGTTCCGCCTGCTACAATCACTATTGATGAAGGAATCGTTACTAACAACGATTTCACTCTCTGGAAACGTCAAGATAGGCTCATATACAACGGCCTTCTTGGAGCAATCACCCCTTCAATCCAGCCTATCATCTCCACTACAACAACATCTGCGGAGATCTGGATCACTCTCAACGCCACATACGCGAAGCCGACACGTGGACACATCAAACAAGTTCGCCAGCAACTCGACAACTGGACTAAAGGAACAAAGTCGATCAACGACTAATTCCAAGGACTCACGATGAGATTCGATCAGCTTCGACTTCTTAGGAAGCCTATGGATCATGAGGACCAGATTGAACGTATTCCTGGAGGCCTTCCTGAGGACCCTCTCTCTCGGAACTTCATGAGACGCTAGTGGACCAAGTTGAAAGCCGCGATACAGCACCCTCTCTCTCGGAACTTCATGAGAAGCTTATCAACCAAGAAGCTAAGATCCAAACCACAACAACTCAAGTCTCCAATACCTTGCGCTCACCAGACCAGATATATCATATGCAGTCAATAGGCTATCGCAGTTCATGCATAAGCCGATGTCTGATCACTAGCAAGCCATCAAAAGGGTTCTGCGTTACCTCTCCGGAACATTGAATCATGGAATCTTTCTTTGCAAGCAACACCAGCCGCTTCTTCATGGTTTCTCGGATTCTGACTGGGCAGGTGACTCTGACGACTATGTCTCAACTAATGGCTATGTCATTTATCTTGGAAGCCAACCTGTGTCATGGTCCTCACGAAAACAAGCTGGTGTGGCTAGATCCTCGACAGAAGCGGAATATAGGGCCGTTGCAAACGCAGCAGCAGAAATGCGTTGGATTTGTTCTCTGCTCACTGAACTTGGTGTTACTATAATCTCAATTCAATTCCTACTATCTATTGCGACAATGTTGGTGCCACGTACCTTTATGTCAATCCGGTCTTTCACTCCCGAATGAAGCACATAGCTATCAACTATCATTTCGTCTGTGGACAAGTTCAGAATGGTTTGCTTCATGTCACTCTTATCTCTACACTTGATCAGTTAGCAGACGTCCTGACCAAACCTCTACCAAGATCGATGTTTCACAACATATGCAACAAGATTGGTGTCACAACAGCCCCACCATCTTGAGGGGGTGTGTTAGTGAATACATATATATAGAGGATCTCTTTGTAAATACTTTAGAGTATTTAATACCCTACTTGTATTGTGGATATATACTCCTCATATGATTAATAAAGAATCAATTAAGCCTCTATTGTTTTATAAACAAGATGAAATTAAACCAGGTTTGTAAACAAGCGTTAGGAAATGAGAGTTCTCTGGAATTAAAACAGGTTTGCAAACAAGCCTTAGGCAATGAGAGTTCTCTGGAATCTACCTTCAGTCATGATTATGCAACAAGCAAACATGAAACAAAGTAAATCAACATTTCGAGCTCAAATCACAATATTAGAATTAACATATTTCCATAGCGCTAACACCACATTCTCAAAATCGTAAATACTAGCTTCCATTGTTCTCAGATTTTAAACAAGTTTTAGGTTCAGGTCTGATCAGTTCACAAGGTGTCATAGCATCAACTTCCGTTGGTTACTGAAACCTTGTTCATCTACTGATATTTCAGGAATCTAAACAACATTTTGGTGCAATTAAATTCCTAGAATCAGTGGTTAGGTTGGTCAGACACGTTTCATCCTTAATAAATCAGTAGACAAAGATAAACAAAAAGTTATAAAATCTCTACTGTCCTGAAGATCTGAAGCTTGTGGAACAAGTAAGACAGCGGTTACATTAACTACTACGTTACTTAAGATTCATATACTAAAGGTTCTACTACATTCGTTGATTTATTTCCAGCACCTGAAATGAGTCGCAGGCAGGTCACAGGATCCAGCGCTACGCTAAGCTTTGAACTCTTTCAGATTGAGACTAAGCGATCAGGAACTGAGGATGAGGAATCTCCTAGAGACGCTGAAGCTCGTGGAATGGAGGGAAAACCGGTTTCTCCAGTTGCTGATGTGCCAATACCATAGAAGCTCCAGCTAGTGCTTGGCAACAGGAAAATGAATGCTACAGGCTACAGGTACTGCAACTGAAACAAATCCTCATCAGTCCACTTCATCAAAAGGTGGGTTCTTGGGGAATTTGTTTTAAAGGTGGGTTCAGAGAGTTGCTTCTCAGCGGCAATAACAACAACACATGTATATGATAATGATTATTGAGAAGTAGAGTGCAACATCAAAGAGGCTGTTGGTATTGATTCAGAACGGAAGAACTTTTGTTTTCCATTCTTTTGGTTACAAACGTAGAAGTAGTTACCAAGTTTATAATTGAGAACTTATGAGGCATTATGTTTCAATTCTTTTGCCAACGAAACACACTTTTGGCTGAATTAGTTCTCAATTAAGTCAACTTGTTCTCAATTAGTCGAACCAGAAGAATAATTTGCTTTAACAACTTACCTGGAAAAAATACAAAGAATAAAAGCTTTTAGCATGTTTGTGATCATGCACACACCCAAACTCAAAATACAAAAGTGGATAGTCTTGCATATGGTGCTTGGAGTCAACTGATCAATTTTATTTACAGTGACATGTAATCTACAGTTTGGTTACTCGAGTTCTAATTAAATTTATTTATAGTGATGACAAAAAAAAATCTCTCAAGATTATGGAAAAAAATTCTTTATGGATATACTCTATATTTTCTTTTATAATTTTATTGTTACAGATCCCAGTAAAAACTCATTTAGAGACCACCAATATTATTATCTTTAGTGGAATGTGAACATGTGAAGTCTCAAATCACTCCTATCCAAAACTTTGAACTGTTGCAATATAAGAAGAGAATACGGTCATTAGAATTCTAAACTTTCAAATGAAAGCCAAAAACTATTCGATTCATGCTTGAACAAAAATAAATCATCAACTTTTAAATATTAGCTATTTTAATTCTTATATTTTGTTGATTTAGCTATTTAAGAAACTCGAATATTCAACTGTTAAAATCGATTAAAACATAAATGCATGTTCTCTCTAAACGACACTGTTTTAAAAACTGATTAAACATCTCTTTCGCGAAACTAGAGCCTCAAATCGAGTTCATCTTCTTCACTCTGGTTTCGCGAACGAAATGATTTAAGTGTTTAAAGAATCCAAAAGACGTTGTTTAATCAGTTTTAATCAATTTTTAAAAATGATGTTGTTTAGAGATTTAACATATGATTACTTTTAAGCGATTTAAACAGTTAACTATTGGGATTTGTTTAATGGCCGAGTCAACAAAATATGAAATTTAAAACGGTCAGTAATTGAAAGTTAAGAAATTTTTGGCACAAACACGAGATAAAAGTTTTTTTGCCTTTAATTTAAAAAGTAAGAGTCTCAATATAAGATGTATAACTTTTGTTTAAGAGAATTGGGTAAATGACCTATTTCCACATCCGAACTTTCATATAGTAACAAATGTACATAATCTATTATCCTAATTACACACAGTTCAAGTATATAAACCTATTACCCCCTAAATAGAAAGATCGAAACCCGTTTCCACTTAACTGAATAGTTGAGTTGGTTTTAATGGTTTAGAATGTCAACCGGTGTTAAACCAATTTGTTTAATAATTGAACTAAAAACCTGACCCAAATGAAGATCCAAATATCTAATCCGACCCAATCCCCTATTAGACATTTTAAATTTTCAAAAGAACACGTGAAGAACCCTAAAAATCAAATTTAAAAATTTAATTGTTTAAATTTCTAGAGTGGAATTGGTGATGTCTGGGTCGTCAAATACTACATCCATAAATCGTGAAAAAGACGAATGGAATGTGGAATTAGGGTCTGTAAATTGCAAAGTAGGTTGAAGACAAGGACAAAATCGTCATTTTATATTCTTTAAATTTAAGAGAAAAACACACTCTTGGTTCGTACTTGTGATGCAAGTCAATTTATTATAAGGCGCTAACCATCAGTCTACGCATTTACTTTATTATTTCTTTACAAACTTAATTAATATCTTTTGTAAAACTCTATCTTCTTCGCAGCTTCTTTGCAAATATACATATGTCTCTTTACAGATAAATATATTGTATCTCTGCCTTTAGATTTCTCTCTTTGAGTTTAATCTTCTCTCTTAAACTTCACTTTCTCTTTCAATTTATGAAATTAGAACACACAATTTGGGGGTTTTTAACCTATATTTCTGTTTGGTGTTAATTAGCGGTACAAGTTTCTGGTTAATAGATCTTTCGGGTCTGGGTTATAAATTATTTGCTTAAGAAACATAATTAGATCCTAATCAGTTATTTCATTGGTTTAAAGTCGGTAAAATAATATTTACGGTTAAATAAATCAGATCTTGGGTAATAATTGGTTAATGCCTCTATTGGTATAGCAGATGATAAAGCAGTGTTCTCGGATTCTATGAATTGGCGAAGCAATGTTCTCATGTAGTGCATCACCCATCTTTTACATTCCACTCGCGGTCTCCATAAAAAAGCTGAATATTTAACAACTACTTCAACTCTAATAACTGCAGCATTTGGTACAAGCGGAATATTGTTCACCAATTCGTTAGGTTCAGTTGACAACAATACACCCTCTGCAATCAGCTTATCTTCTGAGTTCCTGTAATCAAAGATTTCAACTCTTCCTACTGATGCATCCGTAGGCTAATAAATTATCCAAAATATCTATATTAGTAATCTATTCAATGTGAATTTGAAAGGAACACAAAAGAATTTTCATTTACCTCTGACCCGACAGTGTTAGCATGTTTTGAGACGTCAATATCATCGTCCAGTATTATCTTCTCAGATGGCCATGCAATTTTAACTCCTATAGCTTCAGCAAGAGATCCACAAATTGAAGATGGTCTCCAAACACATGCATCTAGAACTGCTACAGATTTACAGTTACAGCAGCCACATTAGGAGCCAAGGGAATTCGACAAATCTTATATGTGGGTTCACTTGAGTAGTATTCTCCTTCACATACAACCACATCATCACTCAAAACCCAATCCAGTAGCTGACACTTTATTTCTCTTTTGCTACCAGCACTTAATTCAAAACTAGAAACATCATCTATTTGTTCTAAGAGGTTTAAGATAACCAAAAAAAAAAACAAATAAGAATCATACTGAACACCAACATAAAATAAAGAAAGAACAAGTAAATAATAAAGTTGTCTTTTTACCAGCTAAGTCTAGAACCACAATTTGGAACTTTTTCAAGCTTTGTAATTAATTCTGCTTGAGTAGCTTCAAGCTTCTGGACATGTAAGTCTTGAGCCTGTAAGTAAGCCATCTTTGTAATAGTAGCCCATTTGCCCATCCCCCTAAGTCTTCATGGTCTCTCTTTTCCAAGAACTTGACTCACAGCATATTCTCCAATGTTATCCGTAGAGTTGGACTTTGTTTCACTGTCAATTGTTTTGATCTTTTCCTGCAACGAAAAAACGTACACATTTGCAATTTTCTTGAACCATAAGTAATACGAATTCATACCATTCTTACTATAGTTTTTGAATGTTCTTCATTCTCGGATCGCCCATCATAATGCGTATGGCCTGCTATCCAAACCTTACTTCTAGTAACTTTCTTAGGAACATAACTGTTTCTCTTCTAAAAGTTCGATCAAGTAGGTGTAATTAAAGTCATTACGTTTACAACTTGCAAATTCAATAAAAAAGACAAACTTACCATCTCATGAGCTAGTCGAGTCATGCCTTTTCGACTTGTTGTGTGCGAAATTTGAATCTTTCTAAGTTGCCTATATTTGTAACTTTGTTCCTATTTACATAAACATTCAGATGACATCACTATTCTCTTTATAAAAAAATCTTATAAGTAAATAATAAAAATTAAATATAACCTTAAAGTTGTGGTGCATCTGGCTTTCACCCAACTGTTCCAAGCAGATGAAGATTGGATGTTACTGGGCTTTATTTTCTGTAATTGAACCTTGTTTTTAGTAGTTCGAACTATAGAAGTGAGTCTAGATTTTTGAGGCCATCCACAAACAATCCATCTGCTTAAAGACTGCATATTCTTTTCCATTCCTCTGTCAAGTTGAATATTTCCTATCAAACATTGGCATTTAAACATTAAAACAGTTAAAACTAATAATCTACCCAAAACTTTAAGAAAACAACCTGAATGTCTTTCCACAAAGCGTCTTTTATTTTGTCTTCGAGATGTCTCCATTCATCTAACAAAAATGGCACATTCTCTCTGACAAGAGGACCAAGAAAGTATGAGAGTGTCACCGATCTACTACCAACATGATCACCTATAGCGTTGAACTCCACATCTACACTACAAGAAAACGTTGGTCTAGCGACTACATATTACGTCTACATATATGTAGTCGTAATTTACCATCAAATTTAGGACTAAGTTACGTCTCCAAATGTATTAGTCGTAAATGAGAGGTTAATGTGCTACCAATGAACTTAGTAGTACATTAGTCGTAACTGAACGACCAATGTACGACTACGTGTTTGCGTAGTCATACATTAGTCGTTCCATTACGACTGATGTACGACCACTGGTGTTTGGGATTTTAGTTTAGGGTTTAAAGACATGTCGATGCTAATTGGTCGTAATCTACGACAAGATTTCGACCAATTGATGGAGATAGAGGCTAATTGTTCGTAAAATTATTTGAAGTTAATTAGTCGTAACATCTCCTATAAAAAAATCCACCCTTTTCTCCGAAAACCAAACAAATATTTTGAAATATTTGAAAAAGAGAGTTGATAGATACTGGGATATTCGGTATCGACCAATGCAAAACCTACGTGATTCGAGTATATGTCTCCTGATTGAGTCGAAAGATTTAAAAAATCTGAGAATACGAGAGAAAAAGTTATTGGGATCACAACCCCAAAAAGATCAATGCGGGACGTACGTTGAAACGTTGGTTTTGCTTAGAATCTACGGACTTTTGATTCCAGTAGCTTTCTTCTCCTTTTTTCAAATATTACAAAAGTAGTCCCTAATTCTTCATAAATGTCATTAGTCACTCATTG